TGTTGTTTTCTCTACTGAGAATTGAGGGGTATTTATAGGCTCCAAGATGATTCAAATTTGGGCTCCAAATTTGAATTGCTTTTGGATTTCCCGATGCTGGTAGTGCCACCGCCTGTCAGTGTCTGACACTGACAGTGTACTGGCGGTGCTATCGCTCAGTCCGACGGTGCCACCGCCGGACCTCTCGGGGTGCTGGGCGGTGCCACCGCCCAGTCCGACGGTACCATCGCCTAGTCCTTCGGGTGCTGGGCGGTGCCACCACCCAGTCCAGCGGTTCCACTGCCCGACCTTACGGGTCACTAGTGGGCTTCAGATCTGGCCCAAACCAAGTCATATTCGGGCCCATTTGGCCCCTAACCAGGATATAGGATTATTTCTTAATCCTAACCCTAATTACATGCAAATTACGAAGTTAAGACATAGTCCTAAGCAGATCTTATAACTGACAACGTCGAGTTTCCTTCCGACAAGCTTTCCGGCGATCTTCCGACGGACTTCCGATACACCCTCGGATTTCTTCCGACGGACTCCTAGTAGGCTCCCGATCTTGTGGCGAGTTCAGCAAGTAGTTGAGCCTTCATGGTGATCTTCGTGAACCTCTAACGATCTCTTCGGTGGACTTCCGAAAACTCCGACAAGTCCCCGATTTTCTCTCGGTTGGTTCCGGCAGCATCTCCAACGAATCTTCGGACTCTCGAACACCCATCGAACTTGACTTTGGTAGACTTGCTTTATGTCTTCAAGCTATCATAGTTAATCCTGCATATGTAAAACAAAACTTTGATCGAGACAATTAATCCTAAGCAATTAATCAAATTGTCCGGCATGTCATTGGTCCCTCGACGTTTCGTCTGATTCTTCGGTGCATCGTCCTCTCTTGCGGCCTATTGCCCAATCGGCCAGTTGACTCCACAACTCCAATATCCTTGGTGCAATACCCGCTCTTCTTGGCCTGATGCTCGGATCCACGGCCCGAAGCCTTCTGTCGATATGTCGACCGATCCACCGGCCCGATGTCCAATCTTCTGACATGTTCCTCCGGCATAACATGATTTTCATGCTATAATTGTCTCATCCTGATCAAAGCATCCTATGTCACTCAAAACGTAGATTAAAATATAAACACATATTGATTGGTTTCATCATCAAAATCCGATATTCAACAGACACTGTCTAGTTCCTCTCCTCAAGATCTACACTCTACAGCTACTCTAGTTCATAATTGCCCATTTCCTCCATTACTACTCCATTCCCTTCTTCTCAAGTTTCCCTCGTTAATGAGGTAATATATTTAAAAACATAACCATTGTTTTTACCTCCTTCTAGACCTAGTGACACTGAAGCACCTCAGCCTGACCCGGCCCGTGTTAGTGACTCTCCACTGCCTATACCAACCACACAACTTCACAATCTCATAGCCTCTAGACATCCAATGACAACATGCTCCAAGAGTAGTATTTTCAAACCATGTCAAGTCCTTGATCTACATGCTATTATAGAATCCTCATCTAAGACCATTGAACCCACCACGTTCATTCAAGCCCAAAAATCTCCACTGGCGTAAAGCCATATGTGAAGAATATGATGCCCTCCTTCATAATTTAACATTGAACCTTGTATCCTTTCATCACACACAAAACATCATCGGGTGTAAGTGGGTTTTTGGAATTAAGCGGAACCCAAATAGATTAGTTACCAAATATAAAGCATGTCTAGTTGCCAAAGGATTTCATCAATGACCTGGTATTGATTTCACTAAGGCATTTAGTTTCATTATTAAACTCACAACAATCCAACTTATCTTGAGTTTGGCCACCACTAGAGGCTAGCAAATATGACAATTGGATGCTAACAATACCTTTTTTATAAGGGACTCTAACTGAAGACGTCTTTATGCATAAACCTCTTGGTTTCATCCATCCTCAGTATCCAAAGCATGTTTGCAAACTATAAAAAACTATTTATGGATTTCATTAAGCTTCAAGAGTCTAGTACACTGAACTTGGTTTGTTTTTCACTTCAATTGGTTTTTTCAACTCTAAGTCTGATACCTCGTTATTTCTACGATAACAACATGAAATCATAATATATCTTTTGGTATACGTGGATGATATTATTGTCATGGATAATAATCCTACAGAGATCCACACATTCATTAAGCAATTGACAGATTAATTTTTTCTTGAAGATCTAGGAATCTTGAGCTACTTTTTGGGAGTGGAAGTAACATATATATCTTCAAGTCTCTTTTTTTTATAAAGAAAATAAAGTCAAGATTTATTATCAAAGACAAACATGTAAGATGAAAAAGATGTTACAACTCTCCTCTCTACTAGTGAATCAATTAAATTATGTGATGAAAGTTCTACTATGGAACCTACTCGATACCGACAAGTAGTTAGCTCCTTACAGTACTTAGCTCTCACGCATCTAGACATCTTCTTTGCGGTCAATAAATTATCATAATTTATGCAGCGACCATCTACTACGCACTGGTTTGTAGTCAAACGAATCCTGCGATATCTTAAAGGAACCCTCAATCATGGTCTCTTTCTCCGTAAACACTCTCAACTTCATCTCCATGCATTTGCCGAGATGCTGATTGGGCAAGGAACTTTGATGATAGAATATCCAAGTCAAGGTATATTGTCTTCCTTGGAGCTAATCCAATCAATTAGAGTTCTAAGAAGCAAAAGACAATCGCATGGTCTACAATTGAAGCTGAATACCGTGCTATCGCTACCGCTACCGTAGAATTCAATTTGATCATAAATCTACTTAAGGAACTCCACTCTTATTTCTAAAAGATATTATGATAATGTCGGAGCTACTTACCTATACGTCAATCCAGTGTTCCACTCTCACATGAAATATATTGCTATCGACTTCCACTTCGTGCGAGATCAAGTTGTCTGATATCAACTACTTGTTTCTCATATACATATGATTGATCAACTAGCAAACTAACTCACGAAGCCTCTCGTCCGTAAACTATTCTCATTGCATTGGTCCAAGATCGACATCCTTGACAGGAATACTATCTTGCGGGGGTATGATAGCAGATAAGATTTTCCCAACTGAATGAGAAAAATCTCCCCTCCCTATTTAAATAAGAAGAACATATCAATGAAAAATATAACTTCTATCTTCTATCTTGTATCTTCTATCATTTTATAGGTTTTAAAACTATCTCCCAAATGAGCCTTTAATAATAATTCAATAATTTATGATGTTTAATGAATAAAATCCATGAGGAGAAGTAGTAGATCGAAACTATGCCTTTTGATTTGTAGGAAGAAGTAATGTCATAGAGTGGTATGGATCATAAATAAATGAGAGAATTTTAGACGCATGTGTACACATTAATTAATCACGTTATATTCCATCCCACGAGGGAGATAAATATCACCAATCACCGATAGTCTTTTGGCACTTATTTTCTCTTTGATTAAAATGAGGTGACATATTTCAATTCTTTAGTGAAGATAATATATATGGACAAGATTAGAACAACTAATGTGCATGTCGTGACTCTTTTATATTGTAATTTTATTGTGGTTCCATAGTACCAAAGGAAGTCAAAGTAAATGGCAAAACTATTATCTTCACTAATAGTTTTATATTATAATTTTATTGTGGTTCCATAGTACCAAAGGAAGTCAAAGTAAATAGCATTTTAAAGTGTCAACATTATTAATATTTCTTTTATTATCATTAAAAAATTATTTGACTTAAATATGTAAGTCCATATTTTGTCTCAATAATAATATAAAAGCCATCAATCTCACAAGTCAATTATATGATAAGAAAATAATAATATTTAGAATTTGATTAAAATGATTAGTCTTCTTATGGATCAGCCATGCGGAAAAGTGAAAGTGACTCGAGATGACAAGAGGGGAGCAAGGTAGAGCACCAGACTTTTGGATGAGAAATAGATGACTCACAAACCTTCCTCGTGTAGCAAAAACTGATGTTTGATTTTTTTTAACAGCTAAGCTCGATTTTGCTGATAGCTAAGTTAGATAATATTTGAGATGAATAATATGAGATGAGAGAGTCCCATTACTTAAGTCACAAAAAAAATTCTTTCTAATCATCTTTGAACAAATAAAATAGCTATTTTGACATGACGAATCACGAATAAAATAGCTAGACGTCAGAATGATAAAAAACTTAACTCTCCTTATTTGACTTTTTTTATATTTAAAAATATGAAAGGTTCCATCGAGAAATAGAACTAATCCTAACCCAAAGGGTTTCTATAAATCAACAATTCGAAATACTTTTCTTGCGTATTCTCGATGAACTAGCATTTATACATAAATCCCATTACTCAAGTCATAGAAAAATTCTTCGGGTCATCTTTGAACAGATCTTGTACAACTAATCACGAATGATCAATTTTATTCATGTTAGATATTAATTTTAATTAAAGATAAACTAATAATCATGTTTTTATTCTTGAAAAAGAAAAAAAGAGAAAAATCCAACTTGCACTTTGTGGGTGGCTTTTTCTTGAAGTCAGATATAGTATAGTCAAATATAGCCGACAGCGAGACGATTGATTCGATTCATCAGCCTGGTTCGGTTCAATTTGAACCCGGTTTGGAGCCAAAGTTTCAGCGTTTCAAGCTTGGTCAAATTTCAGCAGCGGGCAACCAATAATTAATTTACGTATTGATTCCTCCCAAATGATTGATTTTTATAATGGTTCATCGCCCATTTCAAATCACCTTTAATACATTATCTCAAATGCCCTTTACATAGTATAAAAACGTTTTAGAACAATTAAAACTTTAATGTATTTTCTAATTTAAAATACCTACTTCCAATCATGATGAATAGCGATTAATATACATACATATGGGATTTCAGTATTCTGAGGGATATATATATATATATATATATATATATATATATATATATATATATATATATATATATATATAAAAACCAATATGCTATTCTTAACCTTTATAAGGAATGATATGTGAAAATATTGAAAAACCGTCGGGTGCTCCTCTGATCTCCACTCGCTCCTTCTTTAAGTCTTCTCGTTCGACGGCACCTCCTACTCCTCCTCCACTGCCTGCTTCCGCCGCGTGCATCCACCCCAGCATCGCATACGGACGCCGGAAGCCTCCGCTAGCCATATCCCGTGGATCCCTTGCAGAACCGAATTGGTGTTGCCTGATCCGTTCCTCCTCTTTGCGTTACTAGTTTCGGGATCGTGGCGGGTCGGAAAAGTGGGTGCGGGAGTTCGCGGAGGAGCTTAGGTGATAGATTCGACTGGTCGAACTTTCGAAGGTGACTTCCGCATCTGGGTTTCTTGTTCTGGTTCAAAGTCTCGTCCTTTTCGTCATTTTTCCTGCCAAGAAACGTTGGGTTTTTGGGGCAAAGATTGTTCTTTGTCATCTCCGAGTTGTGTTCAGATGGATACAACAGATCTGGAGTTTTTTTTTTCTCATATTGATTTCAATTTGTTTCCTTGTTGTCTGAACTCTGGTAATTTTATATGACTGCTTTTGCCAAAAAGGTGAAGAATTAGTTGCTTTTTTTGCATAAGAGAGCATTGAATTAGATTATTGTGACAATTCAGTATTGTAGATATCTGTCTTGTTCAAGTAGTTGCTGATCAAAGGTTTGGAGAAGTACTTGATAGAGGTGTATGGACATTTTATACGATGATGACGATTAAGTTTTGCCTCGTTTTGTTGATTGCTTGAAAATCTAAACTTTTACCTGCTATGTACTTTTCAAGTAACTCTTGGTAATTTTTTATTTGTTTATGTTGACTTTTCTTTAATGTAATTAATGTAGCCTTTTTCTATATTGGGAGATCCAAGAGGAAGAGAAAAAAAGAATGAACAGAATAATAAAGAAAGAAAGTGAGGGAGTTGAAGTCTTAGGTTTGGTTAACTGAGGGGTGCAATGGAAGAGATCAGCTGTCGTGTTGCCTTTTTTTATTTTTATACAAACTATCCCTCATTTATGAAAAAATTCAACCAATAAAATAAAATGAAGAGGAGGGTCAATTAAGTCTTGTGTCAGATGCTTGCAGATAAAAACAAAACCAAAATAAGTATCTTAGGATTAGCAAGGAAAAAAGTTCAAGAAAAAGGAATACACAATATCACATATTAAAATCATAAAAAGAAAAAAGTTCAAGAAAAGCAAGGAAAGAGAACTATTTTTGTTTCTAAAAATATTTTTCATTAAGTAGGGATGATCCTTTTGATAATTGATCAACTATATCAAGGTATATTACCTACCATAATATGGAAAAGCCCATTTTCTTCGACAAAAGTAATTGAGAACTTCAGAATCATCAAATTGATTGGAACCATTTGATTGAATGAATCTCTGCCCAAATGAAGTGAAGAGAACTGGAAAGCGGAGATAAATTATGAGTAATCCCTTTTTTCTTCTTTATGTAAAACTTTCTCTTCTCCATCTCTCTTTAAATTGGTCCTGGCCCCAAATACAGAGCTCCCTTTTTTGTCTTCTCTAATTGTTCTACACTTCTTTTGTCTCCTTTAGCAAGTTTCGGACAGAGTTGTATGTGCATGTAATAAGTTAGATCTCTAATCCTAAGTAACTCAGAACCTATCTTTTGGTTAATAAGAAAAGATGGTAACAAATACTTGAGGTCAAAACAGTGAACTAACTAAGATGGCATGAGCATTTGCAGTGAGATTCAGTGAAGGTCTTTAAGACTAATTTAGCTAGATAACTTGTGCCAGAGGGAAACATTTCTGTTCATGTGGATGAAAGTTGTGGAGAAATCTTGGCATTGCATGTAGTGAAGATATAGCATTGATTGGGGAAGATTTGGTAAAGCTGATTGTTAGTCCGGAACATGTTGATGAATAAGCTTGTTGGTATCAAAATTCAGTCATCATTTCTTTTGGTTCAGAGGATCTTGTTTCTGGTAAGTGAATAAAAGCATATGCGTAGCTGTTGCATATAGTTAAACTAATTATTGCTTCAAAGTGAGTGCACATTTTCAACGAGAACTATTCCAAGTGAGATATTCAATAAGTACTGGCCTTTGATGTGATCATGAAGTGCAATTTTGCTTGAGCGTATAGTCTGGTGATGGTTGGTTGGATCATGTTAGATTGTTTGCTTGGTGTCCTGGTTATTGATCTTGTTCATTTGGATAGGTGAGGTGCAGCTTCTTGAGGTAGCTAAATGAGACTACTTTGAGCACACTGAGACTGCAATACCAGTATTTGAATACCTAAAATCAAGACAAGTCTCGACAAGTGAATTATATTGTTTTTGTTGGAAGTTGATGTTTTGACTTTTGATTGTCACCACACTGGCAAGATGCAAAAGCTTGAATCAGTTAATTGGTGTGTGACGATCAATCAAGCAAAACATGCAAAATTCTTCCTCACTCGTATCTACTTTTGCAGGAAACTTTTCATTCATATAATCCAACATTCAACAGACACAGGAAGATCTAGTAGTTGGTTTTTCCAGGATGACTTGTTTCTCTTGCATGTTCAGAAGGAAAAGAACTTCATGTCAGCATCATGATCAACTCAATGAAGGTAGACATGGTGTTTGGTGGATTAAATGTGATTTAACTTAATGTTTATTTGCCTTTTATTGAATATTTGCCTCTTCTATTGCAAAATTCTACTCCACCTTTCGGTTAAGCTATATATTTTATCTAGATATTCCAGGAATTGAAGGTGTAAATATCTACACTTACAAGGAATTGAAAATTGCCACTGATGATTTTAGCGCTGCTAATAAAGTTGGAGAGGGAGGTTTTGGTTCTGTATACAGGGTAACTTTTTTATACTTTAAAGTGGATTAATGCTATTAATTTTATAAACAATCCTCACTAAATCGGATCATTGATGTAGGGAATGCTTAAAGATGGAACAGTTGTTGCTATAAAGGTGCTATCCTCTGAGTCGAAACAAGGAGTGGGGGAATTTCTGACTGAAATTAAAGTGATCTCTGGTATCATCCATGAAAATCTTGTCAAGCTGTATGGTTGCTGTGCTGAAGAACCTCACAGAATACTTGTTTACAACTATCTTGAGAATAACAGCATTTCACAGACCCTTCTTGGTAACATAATCCCTGTTTATACTACAAAATTTGAATTTTGTGTACACTTGAGGGTGGTCATATCCCATGTTGTTTTGAATGCATCAAGATGTGCTGGTTCTTGTCATCTTTCAGGTTCCAACCGTGGTAACATTCAGTTCAACTGGAGGGCACGAGTCAAAATTTGTATTGGTGTTGCTCGTGGACTTGCATTTCTCCACGAAGAGGTCCATCCACATGTGCTTCATAGGGATATTAAAGCAAGCAATATTCTTCTTGACAAGGACCTCACACCCAAAATTTCTGATTTTGGTTTAGCTAAACTTCTGCCATCAAATGTGACTCATGTCTCCACCCGTGTTGCTGGGACATTGTGGGTCTTCTTGCCTCTTTTAACTTCACACGATCTAATTCTTATCTGAAAATACAAATGCAAACTATTTTTCATGTGGTTTATCACTGTTGAGTGCAATTCATGATATCCCAAATCGAGAACTTGTAACTGGACTTTGACCCTGCAGCATGGGATCTACAATAGTTGGCTACATAACAATAAAAGGCCTGTAACAACAATGTCCATGTCATATTGCTTGTGTACTTATATGTATACATTTTTTTCTTTTTCAAGTCTTAACTTTTGTCCTCTGCAGAGGTTATTTGGCACCTGAGTATGCAACTCGTGGACAAGTGACCAAGAAGTCTGATGTTTACAGTTATGGTGTTCTTCTGCTAGAAATAGTTACTGGCAGATGTAACACCAACACAAGGTTACCTTTTGAAGATCGATTTCTTCTCGAACGGGTAAGGAAATTGTACATTAAATATAAATTAACTGATGATTATATGACATAAATTGTAAGTTTTTTTTATTGTATATGTAACATCATTTGTTGCTGAAAGCCTGAAACAGTTTTTTTTCATTGCATCAATTTTTTTGTCATGGCCTAGCATGCAGTGAGTTGCAAACAAGGTCGAAAACATTTAATATACATTGCACATAATTTTCATGAAGATATTTCAATCTTGGTGATAATCGTAGACTTCTACCTAGTTGTTTGATTAATTGTATGATAAATTTAAGCATCTCTGTAGAGTCTGCACAAAATTAAGTTCAAACCTTAAATTAACAAAGACGCTTAATGTGTAAAATTACTGTTCCCTTCCCCTCCAATCCTCAAATGGGTTTTGCTGTTGTTCAATGCTAAAATTGATAGGTAAAATCAACTGTAAAGAAGGCTGTTGACTTAAATTCACACGTCAGGAGAAAAAGCTGTGCTCAGAAACAAATATATTCCAAGTTCCTTTTTCTTTATCTAATGCTATTATGAATATTCAAGCAATAAACATTGAATAGTGTTAACTTCATGTGAGACTAAAAATAATCGAGAAACCATGTTTCATTTTAAAAGGAAAGAGTAATGCAGATGATGTAGTGTATATGACTACTGTCATCTTCAATGGCATGCCGGAGTTTCATAAACTTAAGAAAACCAAATTTCTCACCTCAAATGGCATCACAAAGTCATATTGTGAAAATGAGTATGAATTGGAACCCACTGATTGTATGTTTCTAGTAGGTTGAAATGTTCCACTAAAGATTAAAATACTTAATCAACTTCTATCTTGATTTGTGGCCTTTATGTTGGAACTTCATAAACTTAATATAACCAACTTTCTCACCCCAAATGTATCACAAAGCCTATCCTAATGAGAGATATACGAGTTGGAAACCATTGATTTTTTGTCTATAGTAGGTTGAGATGTTCTGTTGAAGATTAAAATACTTCATCAACTTCATCTTGATTTATGACCTTACCAGATAGCATCTCTTGAATTCACAGTACTTTCTCATACTTTCTGTTTTTGGTCTGTTCTCTAAAATGATTGGAGTTTCAGGTCAATTTGACATTTACAATTTTGGATGTTACATCCAGATTTAATCCCATTTTGTTTCTTGTTTTCTATTTTTAAAAATTTCCATATTGCTGCTTACAATCTTTTCAAGGGTAGCTTGTCTAATTAATGTTGTAAGGTTTTGTGATATAAAAGTATATTGTCATCCTTGTTCAATTAGTTTGACATTGGCAGATAGTTCTTTCTTTTACATTTGAGACACGTCTGGTATGCCAAAAGACAATAGTTAAGGGCCATTAATTTAGATATGGTAGATTGCCTTCTCTTTCTGTATATTTTCCTATGCATTTTTTAGTGAGCTTAATGATTCTTACATGCTTTCCCTTTATCGTGTGTGCATATAAATCCAGACATTCAAATTTCAACAATTTGCCTTTTGAAAGATAGAATTGCTCTAGTTAGTTGGATGGGGCATGCTGAAGGATTTGATAAGTTGATTTTGAAGAATATGTACTGGCTGCCCGGAATAAAATTCAATATTTTGTTGTAAAAGCTGACAATGAATTATGATCTGGATCGAAGTTTCAGCTGGGGAAAATGTAGAATTTAAAAAATACCTGCTCCATAGACAAGTAGTTGTACTCACCAAATAAAAAATTCCAATCTACTCATCTGTATTTCATCAAGGCACAAAAAGATAGGAGCGAGGTGTTTGTGTTTAATGGACTTGTAGTGATGGCCATTCTGAGTCTCTGACTAACAGCTAAATTTGGATAAATCTGAATGATATATACAATATGGGAACATCTGTGATTATAAGTTTAGTTTGAAGTTACAGTTAACTTTTGCCTGGAATCCAGAAGCTGATTGGATGGTACTGACGGTGTGAAAGGGAAGTTCAATGCTTTGTTTTCTTTCTTTAGTTTTATAATGATTCAATCATGTATCTAGGCTTGAGAAAGAAATCTGCTTTCTTAAACATAGTATGGAGAAAATAATGGAACTAACATCAACTCTGTTCCGAGATGTGTTTTAATTTACTGCTATCAGTTATTCATTACACATGCTAAAATGATTTTGCATCTTCATTATAAATGAGCTGTTGTAAGTATTTTGTTGATATACATAAGTTTAGAAGATAATTTATAACAAACCATCATAAAGAGTTAATTCATACATGCCATTTTGTGGCTGTTTTACATCTGGCAACATGCTTGACAGCTGCACGGTCCCCGGTATTACTAATGGATTTCTCTTCTTGCAGACATGGGCAATATATGAACATGGTGATCTGAAACATATCATAGACAGCTCTTTGACAGATGACTTGGATGCTGAAGAGGCATGTAGGTTCTTGAAGGTTGGACTTCTATGCACACAAGATGCTATGAAGCTTCGGCCCTCAATGTCCACTGTCATCATGATGCTGACTGGCGAAAAGGATGTGGACTTGGAAAAGATTACGAAGCCTGGTATCATTAGTAATTTTATGGATCTTAAAGTTGGTAGCAAGAAAAAGGCCGATCAAACAAATAGATCTTTAATCATTTCATCCATTCTGGAAAATTCACCCTTGTCATCAGAGAACACTACATCTGCATCTATGACCTTCACAGCAATATCTGAGTGAGACTGAAAAATCAGTGGATATATAAGTTAACGGAGTTTTGAGGTACATAATCATGTAGAATATTGTAATTCCTTTTCTCGAAAGAAAATATGCGTGTTTTTCTATTTGCATCTTATAGATTCTAGTTTATTGTATATATCCGTATCAATTTTGGTCAAAAGAGAACTTTGTTTATGCATTTGTTTGATTGATTTTCTTGGCTAACTGAATGTTTTTCTTTGTTTAATTATAATTTGATGAGAATGTTGAAGTGACACATGATATGGTCCAAATTTTATATCTTCCAAGAGAGCCAACTGGACTTGCATTCAATAAAAAAATTCCTGATTACATATTTCCAAGTAGAGAATTCAAAATCGGATATCAAGAATTACCTGTATTTATGTGTGGTTCATCATCTAGAAATACTTTTTTGTATGTATATCATACTTTCATCTGCTTCTGAGTGAATAACAAAACCAAGGGTTGCGGAGGATGGTCTTTGTACATCTTCATTGCATGCTTTTGTCACTGAAATCTCACATTGTATTATCTTCTAAAACTTGGTATCTTGGGAGGAGAGAGAGAGGATCAGACACAAAACTCCATTCCTCTTCAATTAATCATTTTTCAACCTATAGAAGAAGGTGTCATGATTCCCCGTTTCTTTTTTTTCTTATGATTCTTCTGCTAGTTACCTTTACACTTAATGACGTATCTGACTCCTCTCTGTGCCCAGAGAAACAGGGAATCAAGATTAGATCTATCACATGAAGGTGAACAATGTCCTTTTAATTAATTTGTCATTGTTGGTTTGTTATTCTGTCTACATTCTGTGAGTTCACTGTGTCACTGTTGATAGTTCAATGATGCCTTTCTCTGGACCACATCAACTATTTCTTAAGCTTTTGACTTGAAATCTGGATTATCTTCTACTGATTTACTGTTGCTTCTTATTCTACACAAAAGAACCTTATCTTGCCTGATTCGATTGTTGGTGAAGTATTGAACTTTTGGATCTAGAAAATGTTTCAGAAGGTATCTCTGAAGTAGATGGTGATTGATAGAGCAATTCTTTTATAGGTGTTATTTGAAAGTTATTTACTATATATCAAAGTCAAATGCTCTAATGCCTTATGCTTGAGAAGTATTATTTACTTTCTTTCTCGTCTCTAATTATTAATAGCTCAATGATGCTTTTCTCTGGACCACATCAACATTCTCTTGAGGTTTTGACTTGAAATTTGGATTGTCTACTACTGGTTTATAATTGCTTCTTATTCTGCATAAGAGAACCTTATCCTGCCTAAGTCACTAATTGGTGGGGAAATACTGCAACCTTTGGATTTAGAAAATGTATAAAGTAGATGATGATTGGAAGACAATTCCTATCCTCATAATTATGGGTGTCGTTGGAAAGTCATACTGCAAGAATGCTCCATGTTAACCCAAAAAACTGTGGAGCAAAGCTCTACAATGCTTTGTGCTTGAGAAGGATATTACATGAGCATGAACAACCCTTCAGTGATGCTTGCATCTTTCTTCTCTCTTCCCTCATCCATTTTTCCTCTTCTGAGTTTTTGAGGTTAAGGTGGTTCTGTGCATCATGGTGTACAGCTGATTAGCTTCTCCAAGACCCCTGTCCTAGTTCTATACCAAAAGGTACTTTTTGCTGTTGTCCTTTGGCCACCCTGGGCATTGTAGGTAGGTGCCTTTCTCTCAAAATGCCCAATTGGCCTGTTGATCAGAAGGCTGGCTTTCTTTACTTTTATCAAGTCCTTTGGGGTTTATGCCCACCCAATTAACATGACTTGTGTTGGATCTATGTGCTTTGGCCAGAAACCAAGCCAGGTTGGTTCTCTCTCTTCTGAGGCTGGCATTTTGGGCAGGACATGGTCAGTTTGGTTCCATTGCTCTCAGTGTGCCAGTAGTTCTTGAAGCTCCATTATTTGTCAAGACCATACTCTCTGCTTTGCTCATTATCTACAGAATTGGGACTTGGAAGTGGCTCAGTGGTCCATTAGATTCAGGTGGTCCTGAAAGCTAAGGCTGCATCCAGACCAGGAGGAGGCATGAGCAGGTAATTCCTTGACTGAGAGAAAAGTTACATGCAGAAAAGTGTTCCTAGTGGCCAAATAAACACTTTTATCTATCTCTCTCTCTCTCTTTCTCTCTCTCTCTCTAAGAGATTTTTGTGAAGCATAACAGCATTTCGGTAAGAGTGGCATATGACTTCTAATAGTCATCTTTTATTCAGAGGTAGTTCCTTGACTAAGAGAGAAGTTACATGCAGAAAAGAGTCCCTAATGCACAACAGTCATTGTTATGGAGATCTCTTTGTTCCTCTCTCTAAGAGAGTTTGTGAAGCATAACAACATTTCACTGACTGGCACATGACTTCCAAGCAGTCATCTGACTCCATGACTATTTGAAAGGTAGTTCCTTAACTGAGATGAAAGTTACAGACAAATATTTTCCTAGTGAATAAATGAACAATCAATGTTATGAAATTATCTTTGTTTCTCTTTTTATGAGACTCTGAAGCATAACAGCATTTCACTGAGCGTGACACATGACTTCCAAATAGTCATCTGACACCATGACTATTTCAATGGTAGTTCCTTAACTCTGAGAAAATTTTACAGGCAGAAGAGAATTCCTAGTCAACAAGTAATCAATCAATGTTATCAAATTCTCTTTGTTTCTCTCTCTAAGAGGCTTTGTGAAGCATAACAGATTTCGCTGACAGTGACATGTCACTTCCAAATAGTCATCAATGTTGGAGACACCATGGCTATTTCAAAGGTAGTTTTTAACTGAGAGAAAAGTAGTAAGCAATCAATGTTATGCAGATCTGTCTTTCTCTCTCTCTCTAAGAGACTTTGTGGAGCATACCAGCATTACAATGAGAGTGGAAACAGTTCCAAATAGTTATGTTGTTTGAGACACCATGGCTATTTCAATCCAGCTTTCACCTGTGTCATTCACATGTGTTCTTGGGACTGTTTCCTGTCAGATAAATCACACTTTTATTGAGCTAATAGTTTACTCCTTTCTGACAAATGTTAAGGATAAAGAAAAGTGATACAGAAACAGCTTTCTTTCTGATAAAAAAAAAAATCAGCCACTTCAACCATCTCTGATGCCAATCCAAAGAGAAAAGACAGCTCTAATTAGCTGCTACTCCAACCAAATCTTTCTATGGGCTGCTGCAATTATTGTTAAAGGGCTTTGGACTCTCGAGTGATGAAGATTTTTATTGTACAATATTTATATGGCTTGATATTTTGATCTTATATTCTGCACGGGAAAAAACATATCAAACTCTCTACTATATGTGAATATATTATAAAAAGTAACACTCTCATATTAGTAATTAAATTTAACTGAGGTTCCAAATGATAAAGATTATCTTCCTAATAATACATTTTACGTTTCAGGGGGGACAATCAAACACTTATCGTGTGAGAATAAATTATAAAGAATAAAACTTTTCTTCTAGTAGTCAAACATACTCGAAAATCTCTTGTACACATCTCATCGTCGGCTTAGTCAACTGTACATATAACGCATTAACCACCAGAATGTCTCTGTCTGTTTGCGAGTAAACTTACAACAGTTTTGAGGCAAAACACAAGTTGATGCACCCTTTTAACCTGTTCATGTGATGTTGCAGGAACAAGTTCGCAGCATGTTGGGGGAGGAGGAACCTTTTGGGCCTCGGCAATTGCAGCATGTGTTCTGCCTGCAGCAGTGTTTGGTGGTGGACATGTCGCTGCGGACTGTTCACGGCAGGGGGATCAGCTGCTGCTGCTGCTCCTCCTCCTCCTCCTCCTCCTCCTCCTTCCGCTGGAGAGCGACATGGACAGGCTCCATCCGTCATCTCCTCCATGTTCATCAGGGAAAAACGAGGAGAGGTGGGAAGAAAGAAGAGTTGAATGCCATGCATGAACGCATGCACAAAACAAGGATCACAAGGTATCCACAAAAAGCAAAAAGATACTACTGTTCATTGAAGAGGGAGACAGGCTATTTTTCTGCAGTCAAACATGAGATCTAATGCTCCGAGTTGGTGGATTGGTTGAGGTGGTGCTGTTGGGGGACCTATCATGTCCTCCCAGAGAGGAAGCTTCCCCCAAATTCTTCATTCCACAAGTTCCAAGTCAAATTGATTTGGATTAAGACGGTTTGGTCAAAGGTCAAACTCAATCAATCGTAATTTCTATATCAATATATTTCTAATGTCTCTAACTCAATCTGTAGTTTTTCTACCCAAACTCTTATCCGCCAACTTTGGATCTGATGCTATATTGAAAATTTTAATTGATAGGGTTGACAGTATAATTTAATTCAAAATTTTATACTTCATCTCTTGCATGAATATCGTTTTTAGAATATGGTGAATGAGTCGCTTGTCTACGTTAGGAGAATGTTTGGAGTGATAACGGTGACGCACAGGAGATCGTCCTCCTTTCCTATATGGTACGTGACCATCACTTACTTGTTCTCGAATGCATGAACCTTAGAATAAGTGTATGACATTGGATGGACGAAGAAAGATTGTATTGAGTGAGAGCATATCATCCTTCAAGTGCTCTGAAGGTTACATTATGTGTGAAAGACTTCCCTTCCGCAAGGCGGATGTACGATGTTGCTATACATGTGCATGTCGACGTCCTTACAAGACCTCCAACCTTCACACTGTGGAGTTGCACTTGCAAGTACTCAAGCACAAAAACCTAAGACAATTTTACCCTCGGATTGCTACTCCGACAAGGCCCCAATAATGTTCACGGAGGACAACGTGAGTTGATCGTTTCCATGCAAGTTGATTTCGCCATGTCTAATCCACTCTTTCTTTTTCAACATGAGATGCTTCTGATGATAAGAACACCAAGATCAGTAAACATAATAAGATGGGTGTTTTGAAGGGCTGCTGCTGCTTCTTTCCCTAGCTCCGAGAAGTCCATCTTGGATGGATGGCACACAAAGCTGTCTCAGTTCCTTGGAAGGCTGGAAAGCTGGCAGGAGTCTGAGGCCAAAACACTTGGGCTCTTCTTGCTTGCACTATCACCAACAAAAAGCGAGGCAGAAAGTGTGGTGTCATGCACTAGCCAGCCAGCCAGCCAGCCAGCCAAAAAATTATTTGACCTACTGGTGGTGGGGGGTCCTCAGCACCACCTCACATTCTGGTGGCCA